TATATGAGTGCATCACTACTGATGATAGTGGCAGTATCAATAACGATGCCTTTCGCTGGCAGATAGCTCATCAACTATAGCAACTGATGTCGTTGAATGTTGAAAGGTAAATTGCTTATAACATCAGACAGCGCGTGATTTATTGACATTTGGACCATGTCCGGGGGGAGGGGTACGCAAATCGGGGACGTATTAGATATTAGCGCTTAACAAAATCGTCAGCTATCAGCAGTTGCATTTTCCACCGCTGTTAAGTCAGCTTTAAATGTCATATTTCCTTCTGCGTAGAGTTGCATAAACTGATATTCATGAAGCAGGCACACCAGGGCGTATACGAGCCCTGCAGCTGGCGCTTATATAACTTAGAAATGGTAGTATATACTGAACTGGGGCAAATTTACTCATATTTATTTATAGCAGTTGATTAGAAGTTTGTTTTTACTTTGTTTATTATTTATTTCCAGCAATGTTGTTTTTGTTGGTTTTCGTTGATAATTTTGAAATACACCCACATGTTTGCGATGTTGTGTGATTTTATGCTTTCACGCTTTGCTGATTTTGAAAATTATATACTCAAGGTTAACTAACCATGATGTGGGTAAGCCCACGCCCTTACAAAACTACACAGCGTGCGTATTTATGAAGACACAGATAAATATTTACAATTGTTATTGTGTTAATACCAATGAATTTGAATTACTTTTCATAACCATAAATGAGTGAGCAAAGCATAATTATGGATAGAGGTTTGGTCACTGAATGGCTAATTTTCACTAGAAGGAAGAGTAGTAATAAAGTTGTGGAATTTTATTTCAAATTTGAAATGTTGTAGAGTTTGTCCAAAAAAGTTATGAATTATGAAAACTGCACAGTACATATGTGGCCTTGAGAGCCAGAGTAGCCTAATTGAAATTTAAATAAAAATGCATGTACGGCTTGAAATGCATTAATAGCATCGAATCGGTAATATCTAGACGCACGTGCATTTCGTTTTCTTTTACTAAAATAAAATTTCATCACCTGTGTAGGTGCAAGTAAGTTTCAGTAAAAGACAGTGGTTGTTACTTCAGAAATATTTATTTAAGGATGCGATATCTTCTTAAACAGGAGGCAAAATTATCCAAGGATATTCATGAGCTTACTTAAGCCTCTCTCTATTGATACCCATATTAATATATTTTTTTATATTGTTTAATAATTTTATTTGGAATAAAAGAAAAATATTTTTGAAATAAAAATCTCTTAAACGTCTTTGGATTTCGCATTGTGAATTGGAAAATATTCGTATTTGAAATATATGTTTCTGCACTGTAAATTTAAATATCTTCCTTAACTTTATTTACTTTCAGCTAATAAATCAATAATCTTCGGTCAAACCAAAAAGTACCGTCAAGGCATATCCCCCAACAAATCAAACTTTCAAAGAAACATCACGTTAAACGTATTCTTACACAAACCTTTATATACTAAATATGTATGCTGGCGAAATAAAATTACAAAAAAAAATCACAAACCATATTCCTTCCAAACAATCTTGCACACAACTTCAGACAGCAAAAAAGGTCACCTTATTGTAAGTGTTTAACTAGCATATATGAAAGAAAGAATTAAAATCAATGATAAAGTGAAAGAAATCAATTGATAAAATGAAACTAATAACATTGTAAGGGAAATCTCAAATTTTGAATCGATGCCAAAAAAATGCCCAAGCACATAAACTTAATTTTAGGTCGTAGATTCCAACAATCTGAATAAGAAATATAGCAAATTAAAGGTAAAGAAATTCGTCGCCATAAACGAAATTTACTTCATTTTTCGACAAGTTTAGCGGCTTCTGAGAAGTTTATTAATCATTCCAGATTTTTTTAACGGAAAAGGAACAAATCAAATTTTGGGAGGGAAAAAATTTAAAAAACTAAATTTTTTTTATTGCTTTCATTTTCATTAACAAAATCCTACTAACGAAGAAAATCGATGAATAAATAAAAAGTTTGAGTAGGTCTAAATTTTTTTGTAAGAAATGTTAGCAGAAAAGAATATTAGATACTCATACGCCATACTCGTTTATTTGAAGTTAGCATACAAAATGAGGCAAAAAAGATAAGATGCTGGTGTGAGTAGCTCATGAATCGTTCTTTCAAGCTATGCCAAAAAGAAGTACTTTCACAGAATTCACAAGGAAAGAAAGTTCTACAAAATTACGCTGAAAAAAAATATATCAAAAAAGTGGAAAGATTTTTAGTACAATAAAAACGGTATAAAACGTCAGCCATCTGGCCATTTTTGGTAAGGTCCATGAACCGTTTTGATTATTGTTAAGTAGGTTTAGGAGATGCTAAAAACAGATTTGTGGGACTCAGAGGGTTGTACAATCGCCACCATCTTGGAAAGAAGGGTGTAAGGGTTTTTCGAATATTACATCGATACCGTTCGTTTTTTTTCGAAAAAAAAAAACTTAATAACTTTTTTGCTGGTCGAAAAAAAAACATTTTTTGTTTACGACTTTTTTCTAACGTCATTAATAATAATAATAAATTGTCGCTTACACATATGTTAGTGTTTGGCCGAGCTTCTCCTCCGACTTGTGGCGTGCGCCTTTTTGTTGCCACACAACGGGCAGGGACCTACAGTTTTACGCCGACTCCGAACTAGGGATGCAAATTTTGGGGAGTAACATCGATACATCGATGTTTCGATGCATCGGACAAATGAACATCGATGCTAAAATACATCGCCAGAAAAACATCGATATATCGATGGTTTCCGATGTTTCCAAATTTGTTAGGTTGTAGTCACATTGAAAGGAAAATTTAATACTTTTCAATTCATACTCTCTGTAAGGATGTATTTCCCTTCCTATAAATATAATAAAAATGCATGCCGTCGTAAGTTCGCTGAGCCTAAAGTTCCAAGCGCCAAATTCGTTGAAATTTGAACTTGAACCCGGTCCTTTTTTAATGATTATGTACGCATTTTTAATATCGAAAGATAAGAGTATACACGGAATTTCTGAATTTTCCCCAAAAGAATAAGTAATAAAATTCATGTCCAGTCAAAAAATTTTAGGAGCATAATGGGTAAGTTGAATTCATGTCTGAATCACACTAAAGTCGATGTTAAAACATCGCTGAAACTGGCATCGATGTATCGTCAATTTGGCGATTTTAGGAAATTGTAAACATCGATGGCAAACATCGAATTTTGAACCGATATTATCGATGTTTCAAAAATATCGATGCATCGTTTGCATCCCTACTCCGAACGGCGATTGTATTTTTATGAGAAGCTGGTTTTCATGGCAGAAATACACTCGGAGAAAAAACCTTCTTTCAAATTTTTTTTTTGCGGTGTTGCTTTGATCAGGGCTTGAACTACACCACATAGCATCATTATTTTGCATATTAATAAAAAAAATGTGTGTTAATTTTTTTCACTTTTCGACAGTGTATTTCCGCGCGATTCCTCATTCTCATATCTTCCGAGAGGGCGCTAGGTTTATGCAACTCATTTGGAAAAAATAGCAACGAAGTAGAACCATATGAAAACTAGAACCGTCCGACAAAATGAACGGTGTCGATATAAATTGCGAAAAAGCTTTACACCATTCTTTCCAAGATGGCGGCAATTCCATAACTACCTGAGTATCGCAAATCTGTTTTTAACATCTCCTAACCCTACACAACCATAATCCAAAGATTCAAACCAAAAATGGCCAGAGTTTTGCTAATTTCACTTAACTATTTAATGTTTGAAAAAAAAAATAAAAATTAAATCTGTTCTCAGTTGCTTTTCCATAGCATTAGAGTTCCTAAAAAGGAAAAAAAGTTCTTCAAATAAGCCGAAAAAAAGTTTAAAATGTACAAAAAAAAAAATTTGAATTTTTCTGAAAACAATTTTTCCTTTGTAGGAGTGCTCTCTCAGAACAGTCTTCATTTGTATTTTTATTTTTTTAACATTAAACCCCTGCAACTTTTTTGAAAAGGCGTTCTTCCGGCCTAATTTTACAGAACTATCTTTTCCTTTTCAGGATATGTAGAACAAATTAAAAGATTACAAAACATCTGCTCTTTTTTTAAAATTTTTCCCTGTTAAATTTTTACTTTTTTTAATGTTTATAAAAAAAATCTGGAACGATTAATAAATTTCTCAGAATCGACTATTTTATGTTGAGAAAAATACTGCATCTAAAAAAATATACGGATCCGTAACCTACGATCCAAAATTAATAGCGTTTTCCTTTCTCGAAAAAAATGTTACCCTCTTATAACATTTTAAAGAAAGAGCACCGCAATATGCATGTGAAGATGCTGAGAAAAGAACACGAAAGCTTGACAGCGCTGCCGGAGGGGCAACATTATTTCGAGAAAAGAAAACGCTATAAGTTTACGTGTGTCGGCATCTTTTTGTGCCATTCTGGCATCTCTACAACGTAAAAAAATAAATAAAATTAAAAAGTGAATGTGTTATATAGTAATTGATTTTTGAACACACACATACCGAAACTCATGTACACATCACATAATACTTAAAACTAAAAAACCGAGTGCAGATAACACAAGGCGTCATGAGGCTACTTCAGATATAAATTTAGAAACAAAAATTGTTAGGTTAACTATAATAGGCATACAAACTTATATGCATACAGTCTTATGTAAGCAACCAATATGCATATTAAAATTTACATAGGAGTAGAAACAACATTAAGTAAATCTGTAAGTAAATCTTAAAAAAAATTAAACTGATGAGACGAACTCTTACCAAATTAGTTTTCGAAAAAATAAAATAAACAAAAACTCATATATGCAAGCCAAATTAAATAAATATAAGTAAAATCAACTAAAAAAACTGACTAAAGACAAATAATTTCATTTCGTTATTATACAAATAAATACAGTTAAGTTAAATCAGAAATGGTAAATAAATATTTGATCAAGCGGAAATTTTTGGAATATTAATATACTCTATTTATAAGGTAAATAAATACACATGTAACCAATAAGTACACTAAATAAAATCTAAAATACTTTGTTTACGGTCTCCCTTAAAAATTTTAATTAATCCGATTAACTAATTTAGTATGCATTATAAAAATTAAATTTGAACCTTGCTTATCCTTGCAAGTAGACAGTAATATAGCACGTCTATATCTATAAATACATGTGTATGTATATTAGCATGGGCCGAAAATACGCTTTTTTAGAATTTTGATTGGTAATAGCAAAAATAATCTGTGCGAAATATGACAATTTTTGGGCAATGCCTTAGGCTCGCCCAAGTCCATCAAAGTTCAATGTGCTTAAATAATATAATTTAATAAACTTTTTAATTAATAAATTTTTTTGTTTAATAAAAATATCGAATAAAATAATAAAAATCGAATATATACGTATGTATGTATGTATGTATGTAATCACACAAATACACGTGCAATCTGTTAAACAATAAAATCAAAGCACAAATTAAGTTTAAAAGAAATTCGAGCTTGTTATTTCTAACATTTATTCAAGGATATTGACTTCAATTTGGATATATTCACTTCCATACATATGTACTAGACTGTGTCAAATAAAATTACTAATTTTTCTTCTTTCGGTCCATATGAAAATTTCGTTGGCGGTCACAATCAAAAATTTTGGAGGCAAAATTGCAGCCCCCTATCTTCAATTATAGGTTAGCGCTACAAAAATACGATGTTTTAATGAAAAATAGTTGCGAGTTTAACGTAGATAGGACACACCGTTAATTTTTGGCCATTGTTTTTTTCAGTTGAAGATTTCGATCATTTTTTTAAGGATAATTAAATTTTTAAAAGATTTAAGGGGAAACATTTTTTAATTTCTATTTGCGTATGTTGAATTTTTCAGTGCAAGTTTCTGTTAATGAATGTTACATAAAAATAATAATTGAAAAGAATTATAGCGTTCTTCTAAATCGAAAAAAAGTGCACAAGAGGAATCTTATATGTTATAAAAAATACAAATAAAATTTTTCTTAAATTTAGAATAACAAAAAACAGTATTAAATGATTAAGAATTTGCGTTTATTTTTAACAATTTTCTAACATTTCGAGCAGGTTTTTCGTATATGGAAGAAAATGCTTAGCACCGTCAGCAAAAGAAAAGTTTTGATAAAAATCAACGTGACTTCTTAGCCACTTGAATCTTCCATTGTATTAAACGAAAATTTGGTTGGCTATAAAACGGCATATTTTTTTTTTTTTAACTCAAAAAAGAAATTTGAAAAAAAAAATGTATAACGTTTTACATTTTTCTTTTTGTTTTAGGGTAACCCTATAACTTCTTTCATCCAGTTTTCATTCTGTAACATTCATCATCAGGAATAGGAGAATCGATCATCTTTAAACTTGCTACATTTACTGCACTTTGCACTAAAAAATTTAATACAATTAAATAAAAATCAAAAAAGTGGCCTCTTAAACCTCTTACGATGTTTATTATCTTTCAACTATAAAGATGAATATTCGTTAAGAATTG